ACCAATCCTTTTGGTGGGCCTTGTTCGGAACTTTACTAACGCCATTTGTCACTATGTAGCTTGCGTTCCGCTGAAGTAATTTCGTCAATTGCAGTTACTTCAAATGGGCATTCTCACGGTTGTGCTGTGGTATGGCGGTCATCTTGTCATCCAAGGAAAGGTAAGAAACGTCTTCTCTTTGACATGCTAAAGGATCCTATTGCTCCAATATTCTAGTGGTTCTGGGAAATAGGATCGACTAAGAAGGGGTAAAAAAAGAGCTGTTAGCAGCCCCACCCCTCTACCGTAACGTGCTAGTTGTGGCAGACTATTGGAAATCCGTCTAACTGATGGCGTGCAAATATTTTCAGATCGAATCAGGGCTTCTCGTCTCGTTTTTACTGTATCAATTCCAACTGGGAGAGAATCTCAGGGTAAGTGACCCTGTGTAGATTCCTGAAGAATAGGAGCCATTTCCTAGAGGATGTTTAGGAGCTTGGTGAGGTGTGGAATGGTCTCATGCAAGCTGTCGGTGCTTCACGAAAAGTCTTCGAGTTTATTGATCGAGAACCGAGAGTAAAGGTTTGTCTACATTTCAGCGCTTGCTGTTCGCAACACATTCCGCGATGGGGCCCAGAAATGGGAGGAGACACACAATCATTGTGCTTTTGCTGCAATTATTGGTGCGCCACTCCTTCTTAACGTATAAGAACGACGGCCGCACCAATAACTGTCTCCGCCCACTCGGTCATTGCGGAATCTCGCCTTCAAAGGTGGTGTCCAGACGATGCGAGCGTAGCGGGTCGTGTGCAGTCAGCAAGACGCAGACGCACCGCTCAACAGCCGTACGCCTTGCTCACATCATGCATACTTCCTTTGCCTCGAGCTGCTGCTGTTACAGCCTAGCTCACGCTGAAGGTGTAGGTGGACCATTCTGGTGCAGAACATGCGAGCTCGGCTAATCGCTGTTCCCAGATCAGTTCCACCACACCTTCCAACGGCTGGCTGTCTACAATTTGCACTATTAATAGTCCACCTACAGCCTCATGATTTGTCCCTCCGAACACTCTTTTTGTTAAGAATCACGGCAAATACGCTCCAGAGAAACTTGTCGGACGAATTGAATTCAGAAATGTGAAGTTCAGCTATCCGATACGACCGGATCTTCCTATCATGGAGGTGAGACTTTAGGTTCCTATTTTTGGCATCTAGTGGGCGCTGAAAGGGGCGCAGAGAATCAATACCAAACGAACTGCTAAAAAAATTATTACGTGGGCTAAGAATAGTGAAGTTTGTTAAATTCGAGGAGGATTGGAAAACTGCGATTTGGATGTTAGGGTGCACCTCCATGCGTATCGGTAGGGGGAGCGGGCCCACACCTTGTTGCTTTCGTCATTGTATCCATTCATCGTCTGCTAAGATAGCGAAAGAGCAAAAGAGGCACGTATGACGAAAAGCACACATGTTCCGGCTCGCGCTAGATGAGTGAGCGCGGATGTGCTTAACAGATCAATACCAGGACGCGCTGTTAGAGTTCAGTTAAAGCTTCACCCAAGGATTTATATTTCGATCCTATGAGAGAATTATTGAGTACAGTGACATATCAGAGGACAGCGTTGCGGTTGCGAAGCGTTGCTTTTTTCCGCACGTGGTCTGAATAGATCATGACAACAGCAAATAGCGAAATATTTCAAACGTGTTTTGGCTCTCCGATTCTCTCGATTTTACTTGGTGCCCATATGCCACCAGCAGTGTAACCCTTCGAGACCGCAGCTCGGAGTTCATACTGCTAATCTTTTGTATAATCTAACTTATTGTGAAACCTTTTTCTCCTCTGCTTCACTCTAGTAATACTGCTATTTTCGATTAATAAAAAAAATATATTGAAGGATCTTACATTCACCGTAGAACCAGGCCAGGTGGTCGCATTGGTCGGCCCGTCTGGTGGAGGAAAAGTCGAGTTGTATAGCAATGTTAGAGCATTTCTACGAACCTAATGGAGGAGAGGTATGTGATCCGTGTTGCGCAGCGATTCCTTAGTTCTGCTAGGTCAGGGCAACTTTTAGAGCGCTTCACACTTCGCGATCTAATCGCTTGGATCGCGCGATCGAATCGCGAAGTACGGACGCGCTCTCAAACACACCACAACCATTCACTCAATAATCTTTCAGGTCTATCTGGATGGCATTCCTATTCGCGAGTATGACCACAAGTACCTGCACACAAAAGTCAGTGCCTAGTTCTCTCCTCAGTGAACTGATGACTCTAAGGTTTTACAGGTTGCCCTTGTCGGTCAAGAACCCGTGCTATACGCCAGATCCGTAACGGAGAATATCGGGTACGGCTTGGATTCCTACAGCAATGACGACGTGCAAACGGTAGGTTATCTTAATGTTTTCGAACGACCTGGGGTAGCAGGGGCTCTGTGTAAGGACCCATCGGCGCGCACACGCGTCGCGTGCGACGCTTCTGTTTTCTCCGACGAAATGAGGTCTACTCCCGGGACAAATGAGGGGATTGCATTTTTTTTGCAATTTCTGAATGTTTCTGGATTTTTTATCATTTTTCAGTCAGCAAAACTAGCCAATGCTCATAGCTTCATCATGGATACTAGCGATGGCTACAACACGAATGTTGGTGAAAAAGGAAGTCAAATGTCAGGTGAGAAAGTAGAGTTTGTTAAAAGCGTGCCTATGACATAGGCCTGCCAAAAGTTGTACAAGTGTTTACAGTACCCTCTCCAATTTTGTGACCTGCAGTATACTCCATATCTGAGATGTGGTGGGCGTGGCCACTTACTTCACTTGAACGTGGCGGTGGCCGCGCTTTTGTTGGGATGTTTTCATTTTGGGGCGATGGTGAGAAAATTTTGTTTAACATGAGACTGTTTTCTCAAATTAACACATTTCATAAATAATCCGTCCTACGCCAAATTCGCAGTGTACAGCCACGCCTATTGCATCTCATTGTCAGAGATGTGTAGAAGGTCATGTGTGCGTTGAACAGCTCCCCTCCCTTAAAGGCAAGTTCCACGTTTCGCGGATTTCCCTTCACAAACACTGATTTTTTTTCAGCCAGATGGCCGGGGATTCATGAGTGTGCCCTAGGGCCCTCCTCACAGGTGCGCT